ACACTCTCACTCTCTCTCACTCTCTCTCACACTCTCACTCACTCTCACTCACTCTCACACACTCTCACTCTCTCTCTCACACACTCCCGCTCACTCTCTCTCTCACTCTCTCACTCACTCTCTCACTCTCTCTCTCTCACTCACTCTCACACACACACTCTCTCACTCTCTCACTCTCACACTCACTCTCTCACTCACTCTCACTCTCTCTCTCACACTCTCACACTCTCTCACTCTCACACACACACTCTCTCACTCTCTCTCTCACTCTCTCTCACACGCTCTCTCTCACTCTCTCACACTCTCTCTCTCACACTCTCTCACTCTCTCTCACTCTCTCACACTCTCTCTCTCACACTCTCTCACTCTCTCACACTCTCTCACTCTCTCTCTCTCTCACGCTCTCACTCACACTCACTCTCTCTCACACTCTCTCTCTCTCTCTCACACACTCTCACTCACACACTCTCACTCACACACTCTCTCTCACACTCTCACTCACTCTCTCACACTTAAACGTTTCCCCTGAAGAGCGCCCCCCCGAACACAGCTCGCTCCGCACGTGGCCGTGTCAAGGTGCTGAACTCCCGGGAACCTGGCCGACCCTACCGGACACAAAACGGAGAGACCATTTCTCTCCCCCCACCCCCACCACCCAGTGGAAACAAATGTCCAAGTCTCTCCCGTAGCCAAACGCTGCGGTGACCTCCGGTGACCTCCGGTGACCTCCGGTGACCTCCGGTGGAGATTATCGCACTGTTCATAGTTCATAGTTTCATTTATGTTGGTATAGCCCTGTGAGCCATTCGGCTCTTGAATCGGGTGCAACCACAACAAACTAAAACACGAACAAGAAAAACATCTTAGAGTGACTGTGTTGACTGTGCAAACAGAAAATCCAGGAAAAAAAACAATCAAAATATTCCTGAATTAGCACCGTACACCAACGCTGTGCACAAAAATCCCAGTGGGATGCAAGTCAAAACAACAACAACAACCACAAGACAACTAAGATTAAGGACATCAGTCTAACTCCGTACTACAATAAACAAAAACATGGCCAAACCAAAAAAAAACGTTTGCGAAATCACCAAAAATAAAAGCCATAAATGCAATGTAACAGTGATCGTAGGGACTGTGACCGAATTTTTTTAACAATAAACTACGTAAATAAATTATAACACCAAAATCTAGAGCCATATTTTAGGGCCACTGAATAGCGGTGGCAGCTAGGGGTGGTACAACTCCTCTAGAGCAGTTTTGAGTGAAGATCTCTTAGGTGGCGATTCAAGTGGCAGTTTATTGGCAAAAGCATTCCAGACCCTGGGGGCATCAATAGCAAAAGGCCCTTTCCTGCACGTTGCCATCGGCCGTGTGGCTCAGCCGAACCTGGCCAGGGGCACCAGACTTGGTGCATTTCCTGTGGTGAACCGCCGGTTCCTTCGCTGACAGCGGCTCAAACCCAACGTTCCGCCTTTTTGGGGGGGACATCTTCAGGAAACTGGGGGGGGGGTGGTGGTGGTGGTGGTGCCGCCTTTACCTGGCTAACAGGCGTCGCGACCTCGCCGTCTTCGCCCGTGCTCAGGCGAAGGCGGCGGGGTACAGGACGAGTCAAAAGACGCCGCCGCAAGGTGACACTGGGCGGCTGCCTCCGGTGTTCAGGGGCCTGCTCAAGGCGCGGCTCCGGCTGGAGCACGCCACGTGACACACACACGCGTGTGTCACGTGACGTGACACACGCACGCGTGTGTCGTGCCACGTGACGTGACACACGCGTGTGTGTGTCACGTGACACACGCGCGTGCCGGTGATGTGAGACGTGTCGTCTTCCTCGGACGCTGGGGAGCCGGACAAGCCCCCCCCTCTCTCTCTCTCTCTGTGTACCAGCGTGGACGGCACCCCCCCTCGTGTTCACGTTCTGAAGCGCTCGCTCGTCAACGTGGTGCACGCGGTGAACACCACAACCATCAACCACCACAACCACAACAACCACCACCACAACAATCACAACCACCACCATCAATCATCACCACCACAACAACCACCACCATCAATCATCACAACCACCACCACAACCACCACCACCACAACCACCACCACAACCACCACCACAACCACCACCACAACCACCACCACCACAACCACCACCACCACAACCACCACCACCACCACAACCACCACCACCACAACCACCACCACAACCACCACCACAACAACCACCACCACAACCACCACCACAACCACCACCACGTGGCTTTTATTTCGTGTCGTGCGTGGCGCATTTAGCGCCGCAGCGCGTGGGATGTACAGAGTTTGTTTATTTGTGTTGCTGGTGACTCTGTGTGTTGTTTGTGTTGCTGTTGACTTTGTGTGTTGTTTGTGTTGCTGGTGACTTTGTGTGTTGTGTTGCTGGTGACTTTGTGTGTTGTTTGTGTTGCTGGTGACTCTGTGTGTTGTTTGTGTTGCTGGCGACTTTGTGTGTTGTTTGTGTTGCTGGTGACTTTGTGTGTTGTTTGTGTTGCTGGCGACTTTGTGTGTTGTTTGTGTTGCTGGCGACTCTGTGTGTTGTTTGTGTTGCTGGTGACTTTGTGTGTTGTTTGTGTTGCTGGTGACTTTGTGTGTTGTGTTTGTGCTGCTGGTGACTTTGTGTGTTGTTTGTGTTGCTGGTGACTCTGTGTGTTGTTTGTGTTGCTGGTGACTTTGTGTGTTGTTTGTGTTGCTGGTGACTTTGTGTGTTGTTTATGTTGCTGGTGACTTTGTGTGTTGTTTGTGTTGCTGGTGACTCTGTGTGTTGTTTGTGTTGCTGGTGACTTTGTGTGTTGTTTGTGTTGCTGGAGACTCTGTGTGTTGTTTGTGTTGCTGGTGACTTTGTGTGTTGTTGTTTGTGTTGCTGGTGACTTTGTGTCTTGTTGTTTGTGTTGCTGGTGACTTTGTGTGTTGTTGTTTGTGTTGCTGGTGACTTTGTGTCTTGTTGTTTGTGTTGCTGGTGACTCTCTGTGTTGTTTGTGTTGCTGGTGACTTTGTGTGTTGTTTGTGTTGCTGGTGACTTTGTGTGTTGTTTGTGTTGCTGGTGACTTTGTGTGTTGTGTTTGTGTTACTGGTGACTCTGTGTGTTGTTTGTGTTGCTGGTGACTTTGTGTGTTGTTTGTGTTGCTGGTGACTTTGTGTGTTGTTTGTGTTGCTGGTGACTTTGTGTGTTGTGTTTGTGTTACTGGTGACTCTGTGTGTTGTTTGTGTTGCTGGTGACTTTGTGTGTTGTTTGTGTTGCTGGTGACTTTGCGTATTGTTTGTGTTGCTGGTGACTCTGTGTGTTGTTTATGTTGCTGGTGACTTTGTGTTGTTTGTGTTGCTGGTGACTCTGTGTGTTGTGTTGCTGGCGACTTTGTGTGTTGTTTGTGTAGCTGGTGACTTTGTGTGTTGTTTGTGTTGCTGGTGACTGTGTGTGTTGTTTGTGTTGCTGGTGACTGTGTGTGTTGTTTGTGTTGCTGGTGACTTTGTGTGTTGTTTGTGTTGCTGGCAACTTTGTGTGTCGTTTGTGTTGCTGGTGACTTTGCGTGTTGTTTGTGTTGCTGGTGACTTTGTGTGGTGTTTGTGTTGCTGGTGACTCTGTGTGTTGTTTGTGTTGCTGGCGACTTTGTGTGTTGTTTGTGTTGCTGGTGACTCTGTGTGTTGTGTTTGTGTTGCTGGTGACTCTGTGTGTTGTTTGTGTTGCTGGTGACTCTGTGTGTTGTTTGTGTTGCTGGTGACTTTGTGTGTGATTTGTGTTGCTGGTGACTTTGTGTGTTGTTTGTGTTGCTGGTGACTTTGTGTGTTGTTTGTGTTGCTGGCGACTTTGTGTGTTGTTTGTGTTGCTGGTGACTTTGTGTGTTGTTTGTGTTGCTGGTGACTTTGTGTGTTGTTTATGTTGCTGGTGACTTTGTGTGTTGTTTGTGTTGCTGGCGACTCTGTGTGTTGTTTGTGTTGCTGGTGACTTTGTGTGTTGTGTTTGTGTTGCTGGTGACTCTGTGTGTTGTTTGTGTTGCTGCTGACTTTGTGTGTTGTTTGTGTTGCTGGTGACGCTGTGTGTTGTTTGTGTTGCTGGTGACTTTGTGTGTTGTGTTTGTGTTGCTGGTGACTTTGTGTGTTGTTTGTGTTGCTGGTGACTTTGTGTGTTGTTTGTGTTGCTGGTGACTCTGTGTGTTGTTTGTGTTGCTGGTGACTTTGTGTGTTGTTTGTGTTGCTGTCACTCTCACTCTCTCACACTCACTCTCTCACACACACTCACTCTCTAGCTCTCTCTAACTCTCTCACACTCTCTCACACACTCTCACACTCTCTCTAACTTTCACACACTCCCTCTAACTCTCCCTCTAACTCTCTCTCTCTCTCACTCTCTCTCACACTCTCACTCTCACACGCACTCTCTCTCTTGCTCACTCTCCCTCTCTCTAACTCTCTCTCACACTCTCACACACTCTCTCTCTCTCACACTCTCTCTATAACTCACTCTCCCTCTCTCTAACTCTCTCACACTCTCTTTAACTCTCTAACGCTCTCTCTCACACTCTCACACACTCCCTCTCACTCTCTCTCTAACTCTCTCACTCACTCTCTCTCACACTCTCACACACTCTCATACTCTCACACACTCCCTCTCCCTCTCTCTCTAACTCTCTCTCACACTCTCACACACTCTCACTCTCTCTCACACTCTCACACACTCCCTCTCACTCTCTCTCTAACTCTCTCACTCTCTCTCACACTCTCACACACTCTCACACACTCCCTCTCTCTAACTCTCTCACACTCTCTCTAACTCTCTCTAACCCTCCCTCTCACACTCTCACACACTCTCACTCTCTCTCACACTCTCTCACACACTCTCACTCTCTATCACACTCTCACACACTCTCACACTCTCACACACTCCCTCTCTCTAACTCTCTCACACTCTCTCTAACTTTCTCTAACCCTCCCTCTCACACTCTCTCTCTAACTCTCTCTCTCTAACTCTCTCTCACCTCAACGCGTTCCCGACGCGTCCCGTGCAGCTGCCCCTGCAGTCCATCGCAGTCCTCCAACAGCCATTGAGAATCAGCAGCAGCAGCAGTTACCATCCAGGTGATGTCGCTGATGATGATGATGTTGATGTTGAATCAGCAGCAGCAGCAGTTACCATCCAGGTGATGTCGCTGATGATGATGTTGAATCAGCAGCAGCAGTTACCATCCAGGTGATGTCGCTGATGATGATGTTGATGTTGAATCAGCAGCAGCAGCAGTTACCATCCAGGTGATGTCGCTGATGATGATGTTGAATCAGCAGCAGCAGTTACCATCCAGGTGATGTCGCTGATGATGATGTTGATGTTGAATCAGCAGCAGCAGTTACCATCCAGGTGATGGCGATGATGGTGTGCTGATGTCGCTGATGATGATGTTGATGTTGAATCAGCAGCAGCAGCAGTTACCATCCAGGTGATCGCGATGATGGTGTGCTGATGTCGCTGATGATGATGTTGATGTTGAATCAGCAGCAGTAGCAGCAGTTACCATCCAGGTGATGTCGCCGATGATGATGATGATGATGTTGAATCAGCAGCAGTTACCATCCAGGTGATGTCGCTGATGATGATGTTGATGTTGAATCAGCAGCAGCAGTTACCATCCAGGTGATGTCGCTGATGATGATGTTGATGTTGAATCAGCAGCAGTTACCATCCAGGTGATGTCGCTGATGGTGTGCTGATGTCGCTGATGATGATGTTGAATCAGCAGCAGTAGCAGCAGTTACCATCCAGGTGATGGCGATGATGGTGCTGATGCCGCTGATGATGATGTTGATGTTGAATCAGCAGCAGTAGCAGCAGTTACCATCCAGGTGATGGCGATGATGGTGTGCTGATGATGATGTTGATGATATTGCTGTTGATGTTGTTGTTGTTGATGTTGTTGTTGTTGATGTTGATGATGTTGTTGATGATGTTGTCGATGATGTCGATGTTGCTGTAGAATCAGCAGCAGCAGTTGGCATCCATGTGATGGCAATGATGGTGTTCTGATGATGATGTTGAAGATGTTGATGTTGCTGTTGTTCTTGATGTTGTTGTTGATATTGTTGATGTTGCTGTTGATGTTGTTCTTGATGTTGTTGTTGATGTTGTTGTTGATGTTGTTGATGTTGCTGTAGAATCAGCAGCAGCAGCAGCAGTTGGCATTCAGGTGATGGTGATGATGATGTTGTTGATGTTGTTGTTGATGTTGTTGTTGATGTTGCTGTAGAATCAGCATCACCAGCAGCAGCATAAGATGTCTGCTGTGCTGCTGCTACTACTGCAGTAGCAGCAGCAGCATCGCCACTGCCACTTGCTATCGTAGACACTTCGTGAATTGGAACAATGGCCGAGATGGAAATCCTGGGTCGCTCTTTCCCTAAAGCGCGCACACACACACACGTGTACACACACACACATCAAACGTGTACACACACACACACCACACACACACGTGTACACACACACACATCACACGTGTACACACACATCACAGGTGTACACACACGTGTACACACACACATCACACGTGTACACACACACCACGCGTGTACACACACACACACACCACACACGTGTACACACACACACATCACACGTGTACACACACACACCCACACTACACACACGTGTACACACACACCACACGTGTGCACACACACACCACACGTGTACACACACACACCACACGTGTACACACATTCGTGTGGTGTGTGGTGTGTACACGTGTGGTGTGTGTGGTGTGTGTGTGATGTGTGTGTGGTGTGTGTACACGTGTGGTGTGTGTAGTGTGTGTTGTGTGTACACGTGGTGTGTGTCCTGTGTATGTGTGTCCTGTGTGTCAGTGTGTGTCTCAGTGTGTGTGTCAGTGTGTCTCAGTGTGTGTGTCAGTGTGTCTCAGTGTGTGTGTGTCAGTGTGTGTCGGTATGTATGTGTCAGTGTGTGTCTCAGTGTGTTTCAGTGTGTGTGTGTCAGTGTCCGGCAAAACAACCCCCTACCTCCTCGCGGTGCCAGACGGGCAACTCTGTCGTGCACAATGCTGTGGGAGGAGGGCCAATTCCAATTGGCTCCTCCCCTCATGCCGTCTGTGTCCACCACAGTGGCTAAACGGGGGCTCTGGACTGATGCGAGGGGCTGGTAACCCCTCCACCTTCAATTAATTACCACTAAACCACGAGTTGAACTGAAATATGTAACTAATAAGCTTGTGCCGGAGGCCCCGGGGGGACAGGCGTCTATGACGTCTCCTGGCCAAACCCCAATTGGCGAAGCCAGGAGATTGAATCTCTACCCTCGGGGCTCCTCCAGAAACAAGGAAAAGCCACTACGGATGGCCACGTGGAATGTTCGAACACTCACTGCGGGGAGAGGCTGCCACTCCTCTGTCGGGAGCTGGACCAGTACCGCCTGGATCTTTGTGGCATTCAGGAGGTCCGGTGGACCGGTTCTGGCTCCTGCCACCACGAGGGGTGGACAGTCCTCTACTCGGGGCAGCAGACTGCCAAACAACAGGGTGTGGCTCTTCTTTTGAAAAAAAGAATGAAGGGGGCGTGGGAGCGTGGCTGTGAGGTGTGGGAAGCTGTAAGCCCCAGGCTACTTTGGGCTCGCCTTCCCATCAACCAGAGATGAGGAGTGGTGGTCGTGGTTAGTTATACCCCCACTGAAGATGAACATCCGTGGAGGGATGCAGGCAAAGCCGATGAGTCAGATGCCTTCTATGACCTCCTGTCACAAGTGCTGGCTAAAGTTGCACCTCGGGATAGAGTTATCATGTTGGGTGACTTCAATGACCGATTTGGTCATGATGCTGGCACCTGGTCTGGAGTGACTGGAGGGCATGGGCCAGATCAGCTCAATAACAACGGTAGGAGGCTGCTAGATTTTTGTGCAGCCCATGGGCTTGTAATTACCAACACGCTGTTCCGGCATCGGCGCATCCACACAACATCATGGATGCATGCCGGGTCCAAGCCAGAACATCTGCTGGACTACATAGTGACGGACCAGCGGATGCGAGCCTATGTCCTTGACACCAGGACCTACCGTGGAGCTGATCTGCCCTTTGACCATCGACTAGTCATCTGTAAGATGTGCCTGCCATTCTTCCACTCCGGTGGTGGGTGTACACCCAGGACCCCATTCCAACCTAATGTGGCCTGGTCTCAGTTATCTGATGAAAGTTGCAAGCGAGAATTTCATCATCGCTTGCGACTGGGATTCGCATCATCCCCCACTCCCCCTGATGTCGAGGGTAAATGGGAGAGGTTTAGGACTGTGACTCATGCAGCTGCAATTGCTGCTTTGGGTACGTGGGCCAGACCTCCCCAGAGACCCTGGCTGACAGGGGAGGTGTTCAGGATGGTTGAGAAAAGCGACAGGCCCACTGTCATCGGTTACAGAATCCCACGTCAGAGAATGAGGAGGCTTACCGCAGCCTTCGCTCGGAGGTTCGGAGAGCCGTGAGGCGCTGCAAGGATGGGTGGTGGTCGCCGGTTGCTGGGGAGATGGAGTCTGCCTAAGTGGCCCGTGATCACAAATCTCTATTTAACTCCATCAAAAAGTAACCTGCAGCGCCACACCTATTACCATCATTAGGGGAAAAAACGGTGATCCAATCTCCGACCCCCAGGAACAGGTTTGCAGATTTGCTGAGCATTTCTGTGAGGTCCTGGGGGAGGGAAAATCCCTCAGCCAGGAAAACATCGCAGCACAAAGTGGGGATGACCCTGCTGAGGCTGCGGTGCCTCAAATATTGGAAGAAGTCACCACCTGTGAGTGGCTGGCTGAAGTACCATCTGTTGAGGAAGTACTGAAGGTGATCCGGAGTCTGAGACCAGGAAAGGGAGCAGGCAGAGATGATCTCCCAAGCGAAATGCTGAGGGAGGGTGGCGTTTGTGCACAGACTGCCCTATATGACATCATAACAACAGTCTGGACCACTGGACGGGTTCCGCAGGATTGGAAGGATGCCCTGGTGGTCCCCCTCTTTAAGAAGGGGGACCGCACAGACTGTAACAACTACAGGGGCATCTCACTCCTCAGTGTGCCGGGAAAGGTCCTGGAAAGGATTATTCAACATCGCCTTGCCAGGCACGCTGAGGAGAGGCTTGCGGAGCCCCAATGTGGTTTCATAAAAGGGCGGTTCTGCACAGATGCCATACATTCTGTCCGTCTGCTACAGCAGAGGTGTAGGGAATTCCAACAAGACCTACATCTCTGCTTTATTGACCTGGTCAAGGCCTATGATACCATTAGTAGGCATGGGCTGTGGGTTGTTCTTCGTGCTTTTGGAGTCCCTGACCCTCTGCTCACGACCATTAAGGACCTTCATAATGGTGAGCGGGCCCGGGTAAAACTACGTGGCCGGGAGTCCGAGCCATTCCCTGTACACCTTTGGGTGCGACAGGGATGTCCTCTGGCTCCCACATTATTTAACATCTATTTTGACCACGTAGTTCGTGAAGCCTTCAATAGCTGTACTGGGGGAATCTCCATTTGATACAGATATAATGGGAGGCTGATCGATGCCCGGGTGCAGTCAAGGAATATCTCCATATTGCTCAACCACGTTATGTATGCCGATGATTTGGTAATAGCTGCTCATTCAGAGGAGGAGTTGGAGATGTTGCTGCGGAGACTGGAGCGTGCTACTAAGAGATGGGACCTTACCATCAGCCCCACCAAAACTAAGCACCTGCCTGGGTATTTTGTACCATCGGACACTCCACCCCCACAACTCCCAATCGGTGATGGGGCAGTTGTGGAGAGAGTGGAGAGTTTCCCATACCTGGGCAGTGTGCTTATGACTGGCTCCAGTTTAACAGTAGAGGTCTCACTCCGAATCAGTCGAGCAGCAATATCTTTTCATCGGTTGCGTAACGCTGTGTGGAAGCTACCTGGTCTGTCGCTCTGCACCAAGCTTCAGGTCTTCTCGGCCACGGTCATTCCCTCCCTTCTCTAAGCTTGGGAAACATGGACCCCCTTAATGGAGCATCTTCGCCGGTTAGAAGCCTTTAGGCTAGCCTGCCTACGATCCATCCTGGGTTTAACCAGGCTGGATTGTGTGAGGAACTCACAAATCCTTGAAAGATCTGGGCAAGGTCCCATCGGTGAGCTCCTCCGGCAGGCAAGGCTGCGATGGCTGGGTCATGTAGCCCGCATGCCCAGCCACCGCATGCTGAACAGTTTTTGTTCGGCCGGATCGAGGGGGCTAAACGGGCGCGGAACGGGCTAGAGAAGAGATGGAGTGACGTCGTACAGGAGGACGTGGAGCTGAGTGGACTTGCCGATGACTGGTACCAGCGGTTTCAAGATCGGCCTCTGTGGAGGAGGCTCGTGAAAGACGCTATTGGGCAGTTGGAGGCAGTCGCACTCCAACAACAACGGAGGGCGGAGGAGCGACGCTCACAACAACGAGCGGAGCGCCGGGTGGCTAAACCACAGCAGGTGGCACAGTAGCGGGCACAGGTGGTGCACCAGCCAGTCATCTCAGTCATCTCAGTCAGTCGACCCGTGGCACCTGGGTCTGCCCCGTGACCTCCTGCCAGCGGGCGTTCGACACTTCACGTGGCCTCAAGGTACACATAGCCTGGCACAAGCGTCGTGGTGACGTCACCGCCACTTAGTGGCGAATGGCGGTTGTTGTGTCAGTGTGTGTGTGTCAGTGTGTGTCTCAGTGTGTGTCGCAGTGTGTGTGTCTCAGTGTGTGTGTCAGAGTGTGTCAGTGTGTGTGTCTCAGTGTGTCAGTGTGTGTGTGTCAGTGTGTGTGTCAGTGTGTGTGTGTGTCAGTGTGTGTGTGTCAGTGTGTGTGTCAGTGTGTCTCAG